AGGTGGGCCCGGCCCAGGCTCCCCAAAGCACCCCGAGCCTTGAAACGCCCGACATGGAGGACTTCGGCCAAGCCAAGCCGCCCCACTCAGCCATTCCCATGGCGACTAAAAGGAAACGTGTCCTCTGGGAGAGCCAGGAGGAGTCGCAGGACCTGGGGCTGACAGTGCCCTGGCAGGAGGTCTTGGGGCGGCCTCCGGCCCTCGGAACCACCCAGGTAAGGAGCTGCAGGGCATCTGGGGTGGTGGAGAAGGAGCAGGGCTACCGGCCAGGCCTATGCTGCAGGGTGCTGTGTCCCTGGGGTCGGCTGAGAGGTGTGGGGATCCAGCCCTATTTTACCACGTGCTCGGTCGTGTTTACTGTCTTTGCATTCTCTTGACTTATGCCATCGTCTGTCCCAGGAAGAGTGGCTGGTCTGGCTGCGGTTCCACAAGAAGAAGTGGCAGCTGCAGGCCCGACAGCGCCTCGCTCGCAGGAAGAGGCGGTGTCTGGAAGGGGCAGAGGGCGCACCACAGCCCATTCGAGACGGGCCCTCCACAGGACTAGGGGGCTTCCTGCGAAGAACCGCCCGCAGCATTCTGGACCTTCCGTGGCAGATTGTGCAGGTGCGGACAGGGGCCAGTGGGCGGGGCACAGGACGCCTCCAGGGCAATAGGGACGATAGGAAGGGGTATCTGGACAGCTCAGGGTCCTGGGTACTGTCCTGCAGTCTGGGACGGAGGAGAAAGGGCAGGCCCTCACCCTTGTGCCTCTGACGGTCTGGTGCTGGAGGCCACCTGGGAGGCGGCCTGTCCACAGGTATGGAGCGCTTCCTGGGACAAGCTGCGACACTCATGCAGTGCTGCACAATCTGTCCTCAGATCAGCGAGACCAGCCAAGCCGGCGTGTTCAGGCTGTGGGCTGTCATCGGCAGCGACTTGCACTGCATCAAGCTGAACGTCCCCCGAGTGTTCTACGTGAACCAGCGGGTGCCCAAAGCAGAGGAGGGGCCTTCATATCGCAAGGTAGGGAGGCAGCTGGTGACGCTGGTCACTGCAGCCAGCAGCCTGCCGGGCCTCTAAGGTCATCTCCATAGCGATGGAGTCACCTAATGAAGTGGGCTCTCAAGCACGAGACCTGGTGCGCTGGCCATGCGGCCCTGGCGAGCTGTAGCCCCCATCTCCATAGGCTCCTGTGATGCTAAGTTTTGTTGGGATGTAATTCACCCGCCATAGAGGTCGCTCATTTCAAGTGCAGCTCAGTGATTGCTAGTGTGTTCAGGGTCGTGCAGCCGTCACCACTGTCAGTCTTAGAACATTTTCGTTGCCCCAAAAAGAAACCCCGGGCCCCTTAGCGGCCTCTCCTCCCCTGCCCTCAGTGACCACTGGACCACGTTACGCCTCTGGTTGAGCCGGTATGACATTTCCTGTAAACGGTCCCATGGTGGGTGATCCTCTGCCTCCATCCCTTCGGCCGTGTCCCCAGTGGCTCTCACCTGGTGTCTCCATCGGAGCACAGTCAGTCCGAGCACTGCAGCTAGCCATGCGCCTCTTGCTCAGGTGCTTAGAATTGCAGAGCGAGCTGGCATCTAGTTGAGATGACACTTGCTGCCAAGTGAGTGAGGAGGCTTTCTGCAGGCGAGCCTCCAGCCCAGAGACTCAGCAGGATGTGGGTCTCGAAAGAGACGGGGAGGGAGTAGGACAGCAGAGCAGGTGGCCCACCGCCCTGGAGCTTCCTGGGACATGCCGAGGGGTCACGGGGAGAACATCCTTCCCTTTGGCCGCCTCTCCTGCTCCGTCATCACCAGGGCTCTGCCTCCCCCAGGGACTCCCCTCCCTGTCTCCTGACCAGGAACACCCCCAGCTTAAACCCAGGAAACAACAGAGCAAAGTAAAGGGAACTTCTGTCCCTCCAACCTCCAGCCGGAGAGCATGTTTGCTTTCCAGAGGCCTCAGGTTGCTTCTCAAAGTCATCCCAGGGCTTTTAGTTTCATTCAATGGGAGAATGAAACGGTCTACCCCACAGCTGTGGGCACCAGAAGTCCTAGGAAGTATGGGCCCACCTGCTTCAGCAATGTGTGTACGTGTGTGAGTGTGCACGCGTGTACACCTGTGTGGGGTGTGTGTGTGACGTCACCGCTTAGCAGGTGACGAGGCCACCGCTGTACTGTCCCCAGGTGAACCGAGTCCTTCCTCGCTCCAACACAGTCTATAACCTGTACGAGTACTCGGTGCCAGAGGACATGTACCAAGGACACATCAATGAGATCAGCACTGAGCTGTCGGCCCCCGACATCGAGGGCGTATACGAGACTCAGGTAACTGCCTGCCCAGGAGGACAGAGTGGGTGAGAGAAAGCCTGTGTGCCCCGCGGCAGCAGCCGCCGTGGACGCCACCCCCGGGACGCTGGATTTCAGCAGCATGTCTGCCAGAGAAGGCCTGAGCGGGGCGGGCTGTGGCCCGGCAGCAGCCGTCTCAGCCCTGGGCTGCCTGTCTGCCCCGCTAGGTCCCACTGCTGTTCCGGGCCCTGGTGCAGCTGGGCTGCGTGTGTGTGGTCAGCAAGCAGCTGCACAGGCACCTGTCGGGCTGGGAGACGGACACCTTCGCTCTCGAGCACCTGGAGATGCGCTCGCTGGCCCAGTTCAGCTACCTGGAGCCAGGTAACAGTGCGTGCTGGCCACCCTCATTCTGTCCCGCCTCCCACGCCTCGGGTGACCTGTGTATCCTCCTGCAGGGAGCATCCGCCACATCTACCTGTATCATCGTACACAAGGCCACAAGGCGCTGTTCGGTGTCTTCGTGCCCTCGCAGCGCAGGGCGTCTGTGTTTGTGTTGGACACCGTGAGTCCCTGGGTGGGACTAGGGGAGGGACAGGTCACTGGGCAGAAAGACACCCAGCCCCTGGCCTCGTTTCTGAAAGCTTTTGCCCCGAAGCGCCTGTGGTGCTAGCGCTCGAGGTGGGACCGGAGGCCTGCCTGCCATCTCCCCTCCCACAACAGGCTGACGCGGCCCTTGCTTAGGTGCGAAGCAACCAGATGCCCAGCCTGAGTGCCCTGTACGCAGCCGAGCATGGCCTCCTGCTGGACAGAGTGGGCCCTGAGCTTCTGCCTCCCCCCAAACACACCTTTGAGGTTCGGGCTGAAACCGATTTGAAGACCATCTGCAGGGCCATTCAGCGCCTCCTGCTGGCCTACAAGGTGAGTGTGGGGGTGGCCCTACCTTAGCCCCTGCCCCAGGCCGGCCCCCAGTTACTCTGTGCCCCGCCCGCACCCAGGAGGAGCGCCGAGGGCCCACCCTCATCGCGGTGCAATCCAGTTGGGAGCTGAGGAGGCTGGCCAGCGAGGTCCCCGTCCTGGAGGAGTTCCCGCTGGTGCCCGTCCACATCGCCGACCACATCAGCTACGGTATCCTGGACTGGCAGCGACACGGAGCCCGGCACATGCTCCGCCATTATCTCAACCTGGACACCTGCCTGTCACAGGCCTTCGAGATGAGCCGGTGAGCGCAGCGTGGGGCTGGCCACCTGGCTTGTTGCCGGCCTCATTGGTCTCTCGCGGCAGGTTGGTCTTCCCCGGTTTCCAGCCCCACCTGGGCCGACCTAGGACTCACCCTATGACCGAACCCCATGCAGGTACTTCCACATTCCCGTTGGGAATCTGCCTGAGGACATCTCCACCTTTGGCTCCGACCTCTTCTTTGCCCGCCACCTGCAGCGCCACAACCACCTGCTCTGGCTGTCCCCTACGCCCCGCCCTGACCTGGGGGGGAAGGAGGCAGATGACAACCGCCTCGTCATGGAGTTTGATGACCAGGCCACCGTGGAGATCAACAGTCCAGGCTGTTACTCCACAGGTGGGTAGGCAAAGCCCACGGGGACCTCACTGCTGGTTTCTGCCATTTGTCACCATTCTGTGGTGGTGAGAACGCCCAGCGGCTGACCCTCAGGGCTCGGCCACGCCTGTAGGACCTGTGCGGGTGGGCTCTGCCATCAGTTACATGCTTGTCAGCCGCCCCCACCATCCCTGGCAGCGGTCATTTTCCTGACTGCTTGCTGGGTGGGCTTGGGCTCTCAACCAAGGGGTGGTCAGTGCATGAGAAGTACCATCTTTGCGAGCAGTGTGCGTGGAGCTGGACATTCAGAACCTGGCTGTCAACACCATCCTGCAGTCTCACCACGTCAATGATATGGAGGGGGCCGACAGCATGGGCATCAGCTTCGACGTGACCCAGCAGGCCTCCCTGGAGGACATGATCACCGGCAACCAGGCGGCCAGCGCCCTGGCCAGCTACGACGAGACGGCTCTCTGCTCCAGCACCTTCAGGTGCCTGGGCTGCATCCCCAGGACAGTGGCTTCCTGCTGTCCTTGTGCCCCCTTCCCTGAAGGCAGGATAACTGGGTTTGGGATCTAGAAGAAGCACAGACATCCTTTTATTCTCTGCCCTTGCGCCCGCATCCCGGGGCTTCCCTGCACCCAGTCGGCAGAGTCAGAAAGCACCTCGGATACTGTGCCGTCCCGGGGGCTGTCCTGGCCCCTTCCTGTGGCCAGACATGGCCCGAGGGACCCTGCGGTTAGCTGGGAGTGTCGGGGTTTATCATGTACGTGCTGTGGGCGGACAGCAGGACAGGAGCATGGGTCCAACCAGGCAGACAGGGTGTGACTTAACAAGGTTTGGGCGTCAGGAGAGAGAATTGGCTGTGGCAGGGAGCACTCACATTCTTCATGGCCCCACGATCAGGGGCTGTCACCCACTGTCATGGCACTTGTACATTTACTGACGAAGCTTAGGGAGAGAGGCTGGTGGCATGCTTGTGGTCACACTGAGTGGAGGTGTGTGACTCCAGAACCATGACCTCCTCACAAAAGGCAGACGTGACTTGGGAAATGGCAAGGAAGGGACTGGTAGAGAGAAAGGCTCGGGGCCCCATGTGCGCGGTGTGGCCAGGGGCTGTCTGCCCAGAGAAGTGGGCAGTCCTGAAAGGTGGGGCAGACTGCAGGTGGCAGAACCGTCACTGAGGGATGGCTTCCTGGTGCCACATATTGGGTCATCCGGGCAGTTTAGCAGGGGCACTCGTGAGGCAGGCGGTCGGCACTGGGTGCCACGAGGCAGGAGGCCCTGCAGGTCCCGGGTGGGTGCTCTGGCCCTCCCGGCAGGCGGTGTGCCCGTCGCACCCCTGTGTGTGTCTCCTGGCACCGAGCACGTAGGGCGGGTATGAGAAGCTGTGGGGAGAGGTAGTGAGGCCTGACACCTTGTTTAAGGGGTGCAGCTAAGCTGCCGGGAGCCGGGCAGTGGCGTTTGGATGTGGGGGTGGGGGTGAAAGGCCACAGCAGGCTCACGCTCTGCCCTCGCAGGATCCTGAAGAGCATGGTGGTGGGCTGGGTGAAGGAGATCACGCAGTATGGCAACGCCTACGCCGACAACCAGGTGGTGCACTTCTACCGCTGGCTGCGCTCCCCGTCCTCGCTGCTGCACGAGCCCGCCCTGCACCGCACTCTGCACGGCTGGATGAAGAAGCTCTTCCTGCAGTGAGTGACCCACAGTGACAGGGTCCCAGAAGGGCCCTGCTGCCAGTACGACTTCCTCGCATCCCCCCCCAGGTGTGCCAAGAGAGGGCAGTGTTTGTGCCACTCGTCTGCATGCGTTGGCTCACACTGCTCTGCACTCGCCTGCTGACCGTAGAGCCTGGCGATCCGCGAGGGGTTTGCTGCCCAGATGGGTGTCCAGGCAGTTTCTGAACCTACTGTTACGAACAACCAACCAAGGAATGGCCTCGGGTGTGAGGTCGTGCCGGTGTTATCTGCCAAAGGGTCCCTGGGAAGGGGCGCTGTTGCGGGTCTGACAGATGCGATGAGCAGGTAGATAAATGCTCATTTGGGTGGCACTGTGAAGAGGCCTCCATGGAGGTCGTGCCGTGGCCGCCCTGCCAGTGGTGACGGGGCGCGTGTGTCCCTAGCCCAGGACGACCAGCTGTCTCACTGCACTCGTAATGTGTAGTCCTTGGTAGAAGTGAGGCTGGGCCTTCTCTTCATATTCTTTGCCCGTTTTCCTCTAGTTTTGTTTTCTCATTGATTTGTATGAGTTCTTTCTATACAAAAGCAATTTCTGTGTATAAGCTGTATATTTTTTCCTCTCTTTGATTTTTTTTTTTTTTTGGGTGGGTATTGCCACAGACCTCTTCACGCTTTGTTGCTTCTGGGTCCAAGCTCACTTAGAAGGGCTTTCCAGGACCGTCAGCTCTTTCCTCGTGGTGTCTTCTGGGATGCTCAGCAGCGTCCTGACCGTGGGTTCTGCACTTGGTCCACAGGCTCATCGCCGAGTTCAAGCGTCTGGGGTCATCGGTCATCTACGCCAACTTCAACCGCATCATCCTTTGCACAAGGAAGCGGCGGGTGGAGGACGCCATTGCCTATGTGGAGTACATCACCAGCAGGTGCCGCACTGCCCCTCTTCTCGGCCAGTCCTCTGCCAGCTGACCTCCTGTAATGTGTCTGTAGCGGGGTCTGTTGGTAGTCATTCCTTTCTGCCTTTGAGCCTCTGAACACCTGGGAGTTACAGTAGCTGCTTTACTTCCTCTGCACTTCCTGACATCGGTGCCAGCTCAGATCTGTTTGCAGCTGGTGGGTCTTCTCATTTCTCTGCTTCCTTGCAAACCTGGGTGACACTGAATTGGATGCCGGACACTGTGGAGCTTGCCTTGTCTGTTGGGTGCTTTTGTATTCCTGTAAATATTCTGGGGCTTTCCGTTCCGTTACTTGGAAACAGTCTGATCCTTTCGGGTATTTTCGAGATTTGTAAGCAAGGCCAGAGCAGCGTGTGTCCAGAGCCCGCTGCCTCGTGAGCTGTGAGGTGCCCTGGCAGCGGGAGCGGGCAAGCCAGGCCACCCACATGTGACTGTGCTGGAGGGCCGGCCTTGGCAGGGCTTGGTTCTCTCTGCGGCTCTCACCTCTCCCTCCCTCCACGCCAGTCCCCGCTTCTCCCACCTGGCTAGATGTGGACATCTCCTTAGGATTGTTTACCGTGTTCCCTTAGGAAGTTTGAGGGTTTTAAATAAGTGCAGGGTAAGCAGATAGGTGCAAAAATAAAAGGGAAAGTAGAGAAAAGGGAGAAAGCTGATTTAATTTTAGCAATTTCTGTCTGGCTTCTTTTTAGCATCCATTCTAAAGAGATCTTCCATTCCTTGACAATTTCTTTCTCCCGATGCTGGGAGTTTCTCCTCTGGATGGATCCCTCTAACTATGGTGGAATCAAAGGGAACGTTCCATCTGGCATCCACTGTGGACAGGTGAGGTGACCGGTGCTGGAGAGCTGAGGTTGGGGCTGGAATGACTCGGGGTCCACATCCACCTGCCCAGCACACACTGTGGTCACAGGCCAGGTGCCAGAACAGCTGCAGCCCCGGTCGAGCATTAGCAAACACGGCAGGCCCTGCCGTCATGGCATCTGTGAGCGAGGACTGAGCAAGCAGACGAGTACATATAGGGTCACGGTCAGCAGGGGTGAGGCTCAGAATCAACACGGGTAGGGGTGAAGGAGGTAGGAGGCCTCCAAGGGGGTGACAGGAAAGCAGAGATTGAAGGGAGCGAGTGAGCAGCCTGTGCCCACGCCAGATGGGGCAGCGTGAATGGCGGGACAGGGCGGGTTGGGAGCCAGAGCTGGTGCGGGCCAAGCCGCTGGGGCCCCAGGCCATGGCGGAGACTTGTCACTGAGTGGTGGGGGAGTGTTGGGCTTGACTTCCTCTTGAGCCCTATGTGGACAGCACTGGGAGTAGGAGCCCAGGCTGGGGTGCGTGGCAGGGTGGTGTCAGGAGAAAGACCGTGGGTTTGAGGTGGCAAGGACAGGCCATTGGGGTGGCTATGGGCGACAGACGGGCGTGGGCTGTGTGCACTGCGCCCGTGTATGCGAACCCAAATGTCTGTTACAAGACGGACGGGACAGGAGAGAGTGTATGGTGAGGGATGCCATGCTTGTCGGGACATGTGGCCTTTCCACGCCTGACACTTGTGCAGCATGTGCAAGGTGGAGACGCAGGTCAGGTGGTGGCAGGGTATGTGGGTTGCCAGGATCGAGGCCCCCGGGGCGAGTCACCATGGAGGAAGAGGGGTAGGGCCGGAGCCAGGATGCTGCCCTTGGATGCTGGGGCGGGAGGAATGCAGTTGTACACATGCAGATGGACCAAGGGAAGGCAGTAGGAGCTGCTGCTCTAAGGACGGTGGGTGGCAGAGTTCATATGTTGAAATGAAAAGTGTTGCAGAGGGGACCTTGTCAGGCAGGGCATTGCAGTAATAAAGTGAGACCGACAGTACAGTTGCTGCTGTCCCAGGAGGCCTGGAACTCAGGCCAAGAGACCACAGACCTGGAAGCACTCCTGGGTCTTCCCTCCCTAGGAGGTGGGAGCTGAGTGATTACAAAGTGAATCTCCTGAAAGAGCAAAGTGAGATGAATCAGCTCCGTGGAGCTAGGCTTCTGTCCCCAGGCATGTTACACAGAGACTTACTGGGCACTCTGGGGACAAGGCGGCTAGATGGTGGGATCAGGTGGGGCTGATGCAGAATGATTCACTCAGGTGCGCTTCCCACCACTATGGTGAAACACGCCTGGGACTGACTTGTTACAGCAGGACTCCCAAAAAGAGGGCACTACGCAAAGGGACGAGGATGAGGATGGGGACGAGGACGGGGACAAGGATGAGGTTGACAAGGAGGAGGACGAAGTGCAGGAGCCCGATGTGGAGGACTTGCTGGAGAACAGCTGGAACCTCGTGCAGTTCCTGCCACAGGCAGCCTCCTGCCAGAGCTACTTCCTCATGATCGTGTCAGGTGAGCGCCCGCCGGCCTCTGCGCCCGCCTTGCACAGTGCACAGTTAGGGGACGTCAGGCCTGGTGGGGGCGCCCTGGCCCACACCCCCGCGGGTGGGGGACCCCTGACCTCTCGCAGCTCTGGTGAGGGGGGCTGCCCCAGAGCGTGCCATCAAAGGATTTGTGTGTGTTATATACGGTGACTAGAGATAAGCCCCGGGTGGAAGTCATTGGCCACTTCCGGAATCAGCTGCCCCCGGGCTGGTCTTTGAGGCTGAACTGCTGATCTCAGAAACCCTTGAGTTTGATTTGGGTCTGAAGGGTTGGTGTTTACAAACCAAGTTCCAGGGTCCCTAGGCAGATGCAGCCCGTGTGTGACACCCCGCCAGGGTTCAGAGCCAGTGGCGGGCAGAGCAGTTAGCGGTTCACTGTCAGCCATCCCTCAGCAGAGGGACAGCCACGTGAGCGGTAGGGTGGTTTCCTTTGTGACTATTTTTTTGTCTACTTGTCCCAAGTGTCACTCTCAATTTCTCTTGAAACATGTGGCCTAGGGGTCAGGCATGCTGACCCCGGGGGGCCAGGCTTTGCTTTGTTTCTGTCGTGGACTCTGGCTCATCTAAATGCAGCAGAGCCACGCCTGCCTGCTCAGGTGTGGGCGCCGCCCAAGCATGGTCTGTGCCTGTGCCGTCCCTGCAGCGTACATCGTGGCCGTGCACCACAGCGTGCAGGAGGAGCTGAGACGCAGCGCCCCAGGGAGCACCCCCGTGAAGAGGCGGGGGGCCAGCCAGCCATCGCAGGAGGCCCAGGGCGCAGCCGGAGCTCTTCCTGGTGAGTGTGCCCTTGCTGCATAAGGCCACCCGTGTGCCTGTGACCAACCCCTCTGTGCTCCTTGGGGCGGGACAGCCAGCCCTTCTTCAGCATCCTCACCGCTGTGCACAAAGGGGCAGGCGCCATGTCCCTTGTCTTCCCAGGAGTGATCACCTTCTCTCAAGACTACGTGGCAAACGAGCTCACTCAGAACTTCTTCACCATCACTCAGAAGATTCAGAAGAAAGTCACGGGGTCTCGGAACGTGGCTGAGCTCTCAGAGATGTTTCCTGTCCTCCCCGGCTCTCACTTGCTGCTCAATAACCCCGCACTAGAGTTCATCAAGTGCGTGTGCAAGGTGAGTGCCGACCCTCACCTGTACGGCGAGGCTGTGTGCATGTGCAAGTGACACCCAGTCACCTACACGGTGAGGTGTGTGCCTGTGCAAGGAGCAGGAGAAAGTCACTCATTTACTTCACAGACACTCACTGAGCCCCGCTGTGCAGCCACTGTGTGAGGTGTTTGGGGCTCAGAAGTGGACCAGATAGGAAAGCACCCCTGTGGTCAAGGAGCACAGGTTCTGTGAGGTGGGCTTGAGGTGGCGAGAGGGCCCTCTAATGGGTCCTGGGGCTGAGGCCCTGGTGACCAGAAGGGTGTCAGGGCAGCGGGTGCAGAGGCCCGGGGTGGGTTGGTGTGGGGTGCTGCTGAAATGGCAGGTGCTCGGGGGTTGTGTGGACGGATCAGGGACCAGATGGAGCTCCCGAAAGGTCTAGGCTCCTGTGTGACCTCAGAGGAGTGCACTTGGATGCCAAAGAGCTGCCTTTCTGGGAAGGCGGCTGTAGAGGCGGGGTAGTATTACCAGATAAGGACGAACAGGCGCCTGCGCCCACAGGGCCCTTCGCCGTCCACTAGGTTCAGCCCAGCAGACTGCACTTGACTGACCGCCACTCCAGGATCAGGTGACTTCTGACTGTGGCGGGGAAATGGTTTCATGGACCATTTAAGGTCCTTGGTGGACTTCAGCATTCTTTCAGTTTATGTGTATTAAGGTGGAATTTACATACAGTAAAATTCACAGCTTTAGTGTGTGTCCTATGAGTTTGGTAAAGGCCCACAGTCACGTGTCCACCACAGTCAGGATGAGAACATCCCACCCCCGCAGATCCCCATCTGCACACGCTGGCCTGCCAGTCCTGTGTGCACAGTGAGACTCACTCTGCAGTGCAGCTGGGAGTTTTCACAGACGGATGGGGCTGTGCCACCAAAAGCAAGGTGCCAAGCAGTCCCCCGCGAGCAGTCCCGTGTGGCCTGTGGGGCGGCTCCTTTCCCCACTGTCCCATCTGATGCTGCTAACGGGACAAGGACAGGGTGTTGCAGTCCAGATAGCAGGGAGGCCCCAGGAGCCATCCCTGCCACGTCCCTGTCCTCTGCAGGTCCTGTCCCTGGACACAAACATCACAAACCAGGTGAACAAGCTGAACCGGGACCTGCTCCGCCTGGTGGACATTGGCGAGTTCTCGGCAGAGGCCCAGTTCCAAGACCCCTGCCGCTCCTACGTGCTCCCCGAGGTCATCTGCCACAGCTGTCACTTCTGCCGGGACCTGGACTTGTGCAAAGACCCCTTTGTCTCCCAGGTAGGCCAGCTTCCTCGGCCCTCGCTGGTAGGATCCCAGCATCCAGGCTTCAGGCCACCAGGGAGGTCCTGCCACACCCACTCACCAGGGACCCTGCTCCACCTTTTCTGGGTTGTATCTGCCAGGACCCTGCTAGCTTTGACATGAATTAAAAACAGGCCCCCTTTCTTAAGCCACTCGACCGCCTCGTGTATAACATTGTCCAGGTAACACGTGAGTGACAGTGTTGGTGATTGAGCGTGCCTGGAGCTGTGGGCAAGCTGTGGCATGCTGTGACGCACTGCTCCCCAAGGGCCCTGCTGTCCCCACTGCTTTCTCAACGCTGAGTCTTCTCAGCCAGCGCGCAGGTGCTGCCAAGGACGGCCAGGCAGAGGGTGACCCACCCCCTCCCCTGCCCAGGATGGGGCCATGCTGCCCCGGTGGCTGTGCTCCAACTGTCAGGTCGCCTACGACTCATCCGTCATCGAGATGGCGCTGGTGGAGGCCCTGCAGAAGAAGCTGATGGCCTTCACACTGCAGGACCTGGTGAGCGAGCGGCGGGCCTCTCCGTGAGCGGTTACACCCTGGGGAGCTCCGGTCGTAACCCGGTCCTCCCAGGTGGCCGCCTCCTGGTCAGACCTTGTCCAAAAACCCAAGTGACCTGGTCTCACAGTATCTCAGCGCCTACAGTGGCTGAGAGCTGACTTCATGGACCTTTCATTCTAGTGGAGGGACGTAGACAGTAAACAGGATACAAGTGTGAGTGACGAGTGTGAAGGGAACCAACAGGAAGTGTGTGTGTGAGAGAGAGAGACAGAGAGAGGCGTCCAGCACTGGGTGCAGGGGACTTCTCAGCAGAGAGCCGAGGGAGGTGTGAGGTCCGGGCAAAGCAGCCGGTGCTGGTGGGACACACGGGGAGCCCCAGGACCCAGGACCCGTGGCTGTCCACAGCGAGGGTGCTGTGCAGGGGCGGCACATTTGGACAAAGCCCCTGTGAAGGCCATGGGGCAGGGGCTCCTGACCGCTGTTCCTCGTTTCAGGTCTGCCTGAAGTGCCAGGGTGTGAAGGAGACCCACATGCCCACGTATTGCAGCTGTGCCGGGGGCTTCTCCCTCACCATCCACACCAAGGTGGGGCCCTCGCCCACCGCTGCTCCCCCTGTGCACCCAACCTCAGCCGCGTCCCTGCGCCTTCTCTGGGACTGGATCTCACAATGACTGGCTTTCCTGCAGGTCTTCATGGAGCAGATCAGAATCTTCCAGAACATTGCCCAGCACTATGGCATGTCATACCTCATGGAGACCCTGGAGTGGCTGCTGGAGAAGAACCCCCAGCTGGGTCATCAGTAAGCTAGGCGCTGTCCCCACCCTCTGCCCCAGCTTCCCAGACTCACAGCCACGTCCAGGCTGGGGCGCCAAGGAGAACGACCCTCAGGGAGTTTTCAGGGAACAGGTCACACGGCCTACCCCAGCCCAAGCAGGAAGTGGCCCCACCTGCAGGTGCCCGGGCCCAGCACTGGTCAGGGCAGCTGTGGCCCCAAGAGTGGCCCGAGGGGGCCATTTCTTGCTGAATAAACCAAGTGTGGCCTTTACTGCTGCACAGCCCTGCCCACCTCCCCTCTGCACCTAGCTGCCCTGGGTTTTCTGTTTGAGCTGAGACCCTGAGGGTGGCTGGAGGCCAGACCCAGGACAAGGTGGTGCCCAAGTGGGAGTCTGTAGCCCCTGACGTCCAGTCACTTGTTACCGGAAGCACCATCCCCAAATTCAGCCGGCGGGCGGGCAGTTTCAGGGCATGCAAACCTGAACCCACAGGGACCTGGGCCTCTGGAGACTCCCCAGGGGAGCAGGAGCTGTGGGGGTGTCCTCATCTGGACAGGTGGGAGGGCATATGAGGGGCTCAGGACAGGGTTGCTCAGGTGGATGTGGCCCTGAGAGCCATTTGTCAAGGACTTAACCGGCACATGTTAGCGCCTGGATTTTAGGAAAGTATTTCTTCACCAAGATTTGGGTTCTTCAGTGGAGGAGGGGAGGAAAAGGAGGGAGGGGCCATGTTCTTGCTTCTCGGCCTTGGATGGATCCAAGATGTCTGACTGACCCTGCAGAGCCTGCACTTCTGATGGCCAATGGCCCAACAGGGCACCCAAGCTCAGGGCTCCGTGCTCGGCGCAGAGGGGTCATGGGGTATATGGGGTATGGCCCCTTTGAAGTGGGACAGCATCACTTATCAGCCCTTTCCGCAGAGCTGGGGGGTCGGCTTCCCGACGCCCTGGAGGCCTTTGTTGAGTATCAGCACCTCTCTCCATTCTGCCTTGAGCCCCAAAACATAAGACCATCTCTGCGCCTCATTATTAATGAAATGCGAGTGGAAGCAGCCAAAGAAAAACCAAGTTGGTGAGACGGCAAATAAACTCAGACCCCAAACTGTGGCTTGCGGTAAGCCTGGGGGGCCATGGGAGCCCCACTGGTGACCCGGAGCCTGGTTTAAGTTCGTCCTTGTGAGCTCATTTCTCTGTCACTCAGTTACACTTTGAATTTTCATCTGAATGTTATGTTTCTTAAAATGTTTACTACGTGTATGTGTGTGTGTGTGTATGTGTGTGCTGGCGCCTCGTTTCTGGAAGGAAGAAGACAGTAGCTAACGCCTGTTCAGTGTGTTGGTCTCCAGATACTGCCCCCGGGCGGGCCAGGCCAAATGGCCGCAGGAAACCTGACTCTGGCTGGAAGGTGGCTGGAGCCCAAGTCAGCCCCAGATGGAGATCAGATCAAATTAGGGCCGGCTGGGGGAGAAGGGGGGCTAGCTAGGCTTCCTGGAAGCCATGCTGGGGACGTCACATCACGGGGTGGGGAGGGGAGGGGAACTGCAGCCTCACCCTGGGCGCTGCACTGTGTTCCCTGCAGCAGGACTGGGGGTGCCAAGTGCCCAGCCCTCACCACAACTCCCAGGGGTTCCCTGGAGGCCACCCCGGGGTGGGCATTTGGGGTATGAGGCCTGGGTCACTCATGCTTAGGAAACCTGAGCCCTGGCCATGGTTCTTGAGCTGCAGCCTGGCCCCAACTGGAAAAGCCAGTTTCTCCAACACTAGAGCGGGACACTGAACCACTGTGGACGTGAGGCATCTGGGTGACCCATGCAGCCAATGTAACAGGATAAGGAGGGTCTGCGGGGTGGCTGGGCGGCGTCTTTGAAGTGTTGGCTGCAGCAAATGGGGCAGCCCAGTTGTCCGGGGTGGGCAGGTGGGAGGGCCAGCTCTGGCCAACTATTCAGACTGGGGCCCTGGGTCTGGTACGGGGTTCGAACCCTCCCTCCCCTTGAGCTTGGGAGTGATGGGATCACAGGTAAGAGGACCTTGCAAGGCCCTTGGCATGGGCCTCCTCACATTCCATCACTACTGTGCAGAAAGCACCATCGGTTGAGTTCTGGTGTACCCCAGAGCAGATCTGGCCAGGTGGGCGGCTAATGTGATGGCCATTGTAGCATCCGTGGGTGTGGTACCCAGGCTGCCCTGCAGGCCTGACCCAGCTGGTGCCTGAGGCCTCACTCTGCCCCACCCACCAAATTCCTGCCTTGCCATGTCCATCAGAACCTGGAAGAGTATTTGATTTAAGAGTCTGTAACCTAAGCTTCGTTTTCCTTGGGTACAACTCTTATCACCTCCATCCTGGTTCTGTCCTCGTTACCACTCTTTTCTAGTATTCGAGGTTTGGGGTCTGGGATGACCCCTCCAGAAAGCTGGTGAGTGCACCAGTGGAAGGGTGGGTGCTGGGGCAAAGCGGTCCCCATGCACTCTCAGCCTGGCCCCCACTCCACTGGCCCCCTGGTCAGACATGACAGTGACCTGGCTGGATGTGGAGGGCAGCAAGTCTGCCCACACTGTACCAGGCCAGTTATGGCACCAGCAGCCCCTCTCAGGGCCCACCCTTGCATAACTGTCTTCAGGGCCTCAAGATGCTTTTCCCAAGAATGAGGCCAGAAGGTTCTGGTCAGAGGTTTACTGGATTCTGGACACGTGGTTTCTTGGCTACAAGTTGAGCAAAGGGGATGGGCAGGTGGTCCCAGGCTGTGTGGGCGGGGAGGTGGTGGGGCAGGTGGGAGGCTGGGAGCAGGGCGCTGCCCCGTGTCAGCCCACTGCCCGGGTGTCCGGTTCCCAGTTCTGAGGAGACGTTCGGGTGCGTGGGCAGGGCCCAGGTTCTTTCTGCAGGTCCCAGCTGCGCTGCCAGGGAGCTCGGCTCGGGGCTGCAGACTGGCGCCCCGCCAGGCCCAGCCATTAGTGAGGTGTGATGGAAGATGGGGGGTGGGCTCAGAGCTGGGCTAAACCTCGGGGGTCCGTGAGCGTGGAGTCCTGGGAGGCACCCGGCCCTGGTCCTGTACCCCTCTCGGGGACGTCCACCATCTGCTTGGGCGGGTCACAGGTGGGGCGGGGCTGTGGGGGCGGGGCGGCCTGGGCCTGGCTCTGCCCCTCATCCTGTGCTGTGCCCGCCTGGCCTGGGTCTTCATCAGAGCAGGGGCAGGGTGGGGGAGGGGCCTGGCCCAAAACAAGGGCCAGAGTCACAGGCCAGTTACCCGAGGAGTTCCTCGGTGTACACACCTTGTCGAATTTCTTGTGGCTGTAGACCTTGTTTTTGTTCATGAATGTTAGCAAGATCCAGTCACACAGGAAGGAGCCCTGGGGCCAACAGAACGGACGGTAAGGGCTTGGCACGCACGCGCACACGCGCGTACACGTACCCAGACCCAGCGTGCGTCCTTACCACCCCGATGGAGGTCAGTGCCGTGGCCAGGTTAATGATGGTGGGAATCAGGCTGAACTTCCCTGCCTGGGAGAAGAGGCACCTCAGACCAGCGGGGCGGGGCGTGTGGTGGGGGCACGGGAGGCTGGGCCAGCTCCGTCCGGGGCCGCCCGGGCCCCAACAGGCAGGCTGTTGGCTCACCTGTCCGTGCACTATGACATCGATCCGGACCCCGTAGGCCTTGATGAGCGTGCGAGTGGTGCTGCCGTTTATCTTGTAATACTTGGCAAATCTGGGACGCAATGACCCGGAAGCACATCAGACCCCAGACGGAATGACCAGGTGCCGGAGCCCTGGCTGCCTGAGGATCATGGTGGTGGGCGCCTGCCTGTCCTCAGAGGGAAGCAGCTGCAAGGTTCCGCCAACCGCTGGCATCCCTGGGCCTTTGGGCACTTGCCCAGTTTGTTCCTGGAGCCACCGCAGCCTGGGTGGACCAGGACCAGGGGGCCCAAGGTCAAGGTACCTGAAGTTGTAACCAGATGAGGCCGGGATGTGCTTGGGATCAAGCCTCCGGAAGGAGTATTTGGGGTTGCACTTCGATGCCGACAGGTCCAGGTCACAGTCCCAGTTGATAATGACCCCAATGACACCACCCTGCCCAGAAGTGGGCACAGATGGGGTCAGGGTGGGCACACAAGATGCTCAAGAGCCCTGGGGTGCCCTGAGGCTGCGTGGGGCACACCTCGTGGGGCAACTCAGGGCTCAGGGGGAGGCAGGAGGGGCCAGCCAGCTGTGTGACCAGGAGTCAATAATTTAGCAGGTGCCATGCACACCCAGACGGGGCAGCCGATCCTCTTTGCCCTCTGCTGAGCAGGGCCAGGGCTGGCAGGGAGTGCACAGGGGCGCTGGCAAAGGGAACCCTTGGTGGACAGGCAGGAGCCAGCACCTGGAAGGAGAAGCGTCCCGCCACCGTCCCAGGCCCTCACCCAGTGCGCCAGCTCCGTGAAGTTCTCCCCCGCCTGCTCCACGATGAAGCCCAGCTTGAAAATGGGGCAGTAGAGGTGGGAGACCTCGTCGAACGTGCAGCGCTTCAAGTAGCCGTTCTTCCGGTTCTCGATGTTGCCCCTAAGGATGGCCCGGCGCCTCAGGTGGGAGGGGCAGCCGCGGGCACGCCCACCGCCCACTGGCAGGGGGCGCTCCCAGCCCACCCGCCTCGCCGGCGCTGAGGGCTCTTACTTGGAGAACTGGAATTTGGGGTAGTGGATGCTGTTCTTGATGAGGATGGTGAAATTGGGGGCCATCTTACCGAGAAATTGGCTGAGGAGGCAGAGACTGGGCGCGTTTAGTTTCTGCCCCCCCACCTCCCCCCCTCTGC